GAGACTCGGGCAGAAACTGCCGCCCCCACCCCGGGGACCGACTGTGGTTTATTTTCAGAAACTTCGGGGCGTCGGCGGGAATGGACGACTAGATGAGGACTGGGGTAGAGATGCGTTTCCAACACTAGGGAGTGTGGCGACTGGGGTGGGGTGGGGGCTCGCCCGAGGTCTTCAGGGATACCTTTAAACCGGTGTGACAGAAACGAAATCTCCGTGCCAGCCGATGACATCATGGTCGTTGTTAACCAGAGCTTCCTGGCTCGACCCTGCCCGGCTGCGCGCCCTCCAGCCACGGCGATGGCGGTCCGTTTCAGGCCGGAGAGCGCCGGTGGGTGTACTGTAGTTACTACCCCCTGCCTCCCCAACATTAAAACACACCTCAGCGTGACATGTCCGCATTCCCTCACCTTGTTCCTGAAGTTCCCTACAGTTTCAGGAAGTAACCTTCGTGCTGGAGGTCTGTTGTGCAATGGAAGTTACGAGGAAACGCAGGTTTTAGAGGCCATTTTTATTTTATGACTCCTAAAAAGGCTGCCACCCGTCCTGTTGCTGAACACTCACAACGCCAGAGTGAAGAGGGAACTCGTTTTATGTTTTGGAAAATCGAAAAATCTGCTTAATGTGTTTTATAATCCTGGTTTCCTGCCAGTAATTCAGGGCTCTGGACTCCAGACCGGAGGGTAATGGGTTCAGATTCTGTCTGTTGTGCCCTTGAGTGAGTCTTTTTTTTTACTTGGGTCACTCCAGTTAACACCCCGCTGTATCAGTGGGGCTCTGGTCGTCGGTGTACGTGACAATCTTTTTGTTATGGACGTATCTGGTCAAGGAAAAGAAATAAGTAAATGAAATGTCGGAAATAATTGCTTTTTAGATCAACAAAAGAAGAGGTACTTGCTTCCCCATTGCTGTCAGTCTTCAAGCATTCTGTGCTGAATGCATTAGAAAAATGTTAATTTTCAGTCCAGCTATATTGAGTTTTTTAAAGTTGTTTTTTAGTTCAAGAGACAAGAACAGTAGCTGATCTGAGCTGTACTCTGCAGTTCTTATGGCTGCAGTTGCATTATATTACTGGTTTTTATTTGATTAATTATCATATTCTTATATGTCTGACGCCAAGATGATGCGTGCCATGCAAATATTTTCAGTGTTGCTATGCTGGGAATACTTCCACCGGAAAGATAGGAGGGGTGTGTTTTCCCCTCTTGAATTGCAATTATAGCGTTCCCAACCCCTCCCAGATTTAGGAGTTATATTTTCATCGAGCTCCTCTGACAAAAAAAAAAAAGAAATAAAAAGCAACACTGCTCGGATCTTGCTCCTTTGTCCAGTATGGTGTACAGACCCTCTACAGGTGTCGGAAATCGGGCTGTGTGGAGGAAGGACGGTCCTGAGATCATGCCACTGGCGATTGGATAATTCTGTTCTGTGAAGAGAATCTGATACGTCTGCTTGTACTGTAAAGGTGTGGGCAGGTTACCACAGATGAGCACGTCCCCTGCGCAGTGGGCCTCAGCCGATGAGATGACTTCATGAATGTTAATGCCTCTGTACTGCCTGCGCGTGTGCACAGAGTGCTGTACCTGGCATTAGCAGTTGTAATCTCTCGCAGGGGGGTCCCTCTGCACCGTTGGGGTTTCACTAAAAGGGTATGTTGGCAGAGCTGGAGCCCTGCGTGTAGCCTGTCCTGTTCCTCTGAGGGAGCTTTCTATAGCAACAGAGGGCTGGAGCAAACCAGCCAGCCGGCTTCCAATGAGCTGCAGGAACCTCCAGCTGCCTTAAACCTGTCCTGGAGGAGCCGGCTGAATGTGGGAGGGAGGAAGACGGTTCAATAATGATGTTAAACTTTATTTTATATAGCGCCTTTACAGGTGGCTTCTCAAAGCGCTTTTCAGAACGACGCCAAAAAATAAAGTACCCCAGACTTGCTCAATGAGAATACATAGTGAGAGGAGACAGCAGATGGTGGTACTGAATACAGTAGGAGCCGAGGGTTAAATAACAGAACCAGTTGAGTAAGGGCTCTTCTAACGAAGACGGTTTTGAGTCTGGAGTTGCTTCAATAAGGAAGAGTTTGGTGGTCCTCAAGTGAAGGATGATGGATTCACGAGCATGCTTGACCATTGATGTAGCTCCGTCTCCCCTTCCCCCCAAGCACCGAGTGACTGATCTGATACGTTCTTCACAAATGCTTTTACAATTCATATCCAGTGTAGTTTTGGGGGTGCAGTGAACGGTGCTGTATTTTGTATTATAGCAGGGAAAGCTATAGATGGGAAAACAAAGGCCGTCCAAAATGGTGATTAGGAATATCACCCTTTCTTTTGCTGTAAATTGATATGCTCTCCTGTCAGTAATGCTGCTGCTCTGCTCTGCTCTGTGTGAGGCCAGTGAGACCTGCTTGGCAGTCACTGAAGCAAACTACCTCAGTACAGGAAGCACTGCTCTTGATGGTCACAAGGACAAAAACCAACACAAAGCCCCAAGACTTGGTGTGTGGTTTGTTACTCTAGTCATGCAATCCGCAGGATTCTAAAGGAAGCTGATTTTCTGTTGCTGAAGGCAAATGTCGACCAAGCTTTGAAGTAGCTTTAAAACTCATGCATGGGCAGCCTTATTATTTTTAAAATTGCAAACTTTTACTTTAACTTATTTCCCTTCTCCTGAGAAATGCTGGAAAAGAAAAAGACCTCAAAGCAAAGAGATTGGGCAGGGGAAGAAATGTTGAACTGAAAACGCATGTTAATAAGGTACTGAGTGGTTTAGAGCGCTGGTGCGTCCTGCGCTGAGCATGCCTTGTGGAATCAGACTTGCTTGTGCTGATCGGCCTGTCTCCCCTCTCCGGCGTGCAGCTGCTTTGCAGGCCTTGAAGCGCAAGAAGAGGTACGAGAAGCAGCTGGCGCAGATCGACGGCACGCTGTCCACCATCGAGTTCCAGAGGGAAGCGCTGGAGAATGCGAACACCAACACCGAAGTGCTCAAGAACATGGGCTTCGCGGCCAAGGCCATGAAGGCCGCCCATGAAAACATGTAAGGGGTCCCCACCTCCAGCCTGCCGACGGGTCTTACTGAGCACCTGCACACAGCTGGTGCCTCTCTGCGCTGATGTACCGCGAGTTGTGACAGTGGGGTACAGCCCGCTTAAATCTGCAGTCAGCTGTCAGGGTTGAAGAGCGTTAAGCGGCCCCATTTAGAACGCTTGACAGTGGGGTGAGCTGTAAACAGTACTTCAGTTAAAAAAAAAAGTTAAAAAATTAGGTTTGTCTCAGGATTGTAGACTGTAGAAGGTTTACACTTAAAAATGGTTACAGTCACAGGATTCCTTACTAGTTTTTAGAAATCAGGATGATTGTAGCAGGATGAGAGCCTGTGAGGTTGTGTATGTCTGGTGAAGATCAAGAGTTTCTCAGAGGTGGTCAGCCAACCCAGCACAACTGAACTGGGCCAATTTTATTTCTTTTTTGTACTGTAATTTGATGTGTTGGACAAACTGAAAGGGAGAAGAATATAAAAATGTACATACTGAAAGAAATGTAGAGATAATCCAATGAAGAGTCTCCTATAAATGATAAAAACTATTGGGATAGCAGTGGGAATAGCTCTGTGTCAAGCAAAGTTCATGTTTCCAGATTCCTGGAGAAACTATACTCCAGGTTACAGAAGTTTGCAGACCTGCCTGAGGGGATGTAGTGTTAGTTCTTCTGGAGTTTAGTGTTTCTGATGCACACAGTGACGAAAGAGTAGACATGGGCCTGACTGGCTGCCTGAATCGGTCTTCCTCAGGGACATCGACAAAGTCGACGACTTGATGCAGGACATCACAGAGCAGCAGGAGCTGGCTCAGGAGATCTCGGACGCGATATCCAAGCCCGTAGGATTTGGGGAGGAGTTTGACGAGGTACGAGAGAAGATGGGATTGGGGTCACTCTTTTGTTTTTCTGAAGCCTGGGCTCTGGCACCAAGAAAGATTTAGCGCTGCACTGCTCTGATGGCCAGATGGATTGTTGTGTTGACCCTAATGGGCTCGGCTCTTCTCTTTTCCAGGATGAGCTAATGGCAGAACTGGAGGAATTAGAACAAGAGGAATTGGATAAAAACCTCCTGGAGATTGGTGGCACTGAAAATGTACCGCTGCCCAACGTACCCTCCACGTCGCTACCTGCCAGACCAGGTAAAATAACAGGCCAGCTTGGGTATCAACAGCTTTACTCTTTTTAAAGTTACGAAAAATGGATTGCCTCTTGCGTCGAAGGGTTTGAATGCAAATCTGTGTTTTACAGACACAGGTCAGGAACTAAGCATATTGAATTAACTTCAATTCTGTTCCGCTCCTCTGGAAAACATGACCTCATGGAGCATTTCCAGACCTAGATACTGATCTGTAAGAACAGATGCTGGAGGTGTAGCAGGTATTTGAGGAAGCAGACCTCCGCATCAATACTAACCAAATCGTATCTGTCGGTACGTTTGTTTCCTGGTAATTGACATCTCTGTACTTCATTATCAAGTACAGTTCATGTCTGTGATATGAGAAATTTTGTGCTTGTGCTAACAGCCTTTATTAATCTGGTTTTCAGCAAAGAAGAAGGAAGAGGAAGATGAGGATGACATGAAAGACCTGGAGCGCTGGGCTGAGGCTGTGTAGTCCGTCTTGGCATTGTGTCAACATCAGGCCAACGGATAAAAAGAAAAAAGAAAGAAAAGACTTTGTCAGCTGACACAGTGGTTGTATCGTGTTCTGCTGGGAGAAAAAAAAATCTTAAAAAGAAAAAAAAGATTAATACTCCAATACCTGTAGCTCTTAATATCATCCCAAAGCAGTGAAGGGGTATAAAGGCTTATCTTTCAAACCATCTTCCATCTTGGGATAAAAGAACCTCTCCTTTCAGACGTCCGTGTACTCTTGCAGATCCCTGACGAATTCACTACAGTACACCAGCCCTCATGCTTCGAGACTCTTTGCTGCACTCCTCTGCTCGTTATGGAACGTCGTTGCTTTATACTGTGCACATGCGTTACTTCAGTGCACAACAGCAGTAGATTTCTCAACGCAATATCCCTGCTCCACCTGCAGCTGTCCCAGTCCGAATCGCAGGCGCTGCAGAATTGTGCCCAGCCAGCTCCCTGATTGTGTGGTGGAATAACGCAGCGGTCCTCATTGCTGGTTCTGGAGAGAGAGCCCTGTGGGTATTACAGAGGAACAGGCCCACTCCATAAGTAAAGGCCTGGACGCTAGTCATAGGGGGGTTGCTTGGTGAAATGATTCAGTAGGTAAGGAGCTCAGGTGGGAGGACGGCCCTGCGGCTCTCTGTTGCCAGCAGTGAGGATCCCTGGTGTGACGGTTAAGGTGCTGGTTGTACTGGAGAGCTGCAGTGCAGTGGAACAGCAAGCTTGCACGTGACCTAATTCCTGCCTCAGACTTTCCAATATTATTATTGTTTCTAAATCGGATTACCGGTGAGCGGGGAACTGGATGCCCACTGTTGGTAGGGTGCAGCTCTGGAGTTAAACTGGCTAATCGTGTTTCTGCATTTTCTTTGATTAGACTTTTTTTTTGTATTCCTTCAGAATATTTTTATGCTATAATAAAGTTTCAGGAAGGACGAATTTGAGATTTTCTAATTGGCTTTTTTATTAGCAAGCTTTTAAGAGTGGAATGTGGTATTTTGTCAGGTTGAAATACAGTCCTAAAAGGATTAAAGGGGCTAGGATTATTTAAATTTAGGGGTTTCAATGAATTAATGTTCCTTAACATTTATGTAGTTCCTTTTGGTATTTAATGGCAGTTTTCGTGTTTGCTTTTCTGAGAAGGAAATATCTATCAAAATATTTATAGTTTGTAAGAACCTATTACAAGAGAGGTTAGAATACAATGACATACATGCAGTAACTGTATTTAAAATGAAATGCACAGAAATACTTGAAGGTATTCCAGTATACATGCAAATTCAGGTTTTTCTTTATTCTGTCAATATTTATCTTTTCTTTTTATTTCTGTGCCCGCCTACCTTTATCGTGCTCATGGTACACCAGAATTAAACTTTTGCCAAATATGTCATTTCTTGCATTTTACTTAATCATTCTCTATGCATGCGAAGACTAAAGTTAATGGAGTTTAAATTACCTGAGCAGGTGCCCCGCACAGAGAAACCTGTCCGACCCAATCTGTCTGAATGATATTGGTTGACATGGTTACATTTTTTTGTCATTAGCTCTTAAGCTGCTTTGGGGAAAAAATGTTTTTGTAATGACAAAGTAAAAACTTGTGGTTGTTTTAACCATAGGCAAAAAAAGTTAGTTGATCAGTCAAACTGGCACGAAACTGACAAGTGTTTTCATGCTGAATGAGAGGGATATTACTGTTGAATTAAAACAAACATGCTGTACATTTTCTACATGGGAACTGCAGTGTAAATTGATATTTGCGAGGTGTAACACAAGCAGTAGCATGTATACATTTATATGTTTTAATGATTCAGATGAATCTATTATCTGAATGGTCATTAAACTTCTTGATTAATTTTTTGTCACTGGTCTTAATTCTCAATTAAGATTCAGTTAGGTGTATTTTTAAGCAGTTCGTCATCTTTATATAGCTGGAATAGCTATATAAAGAATGCAGATGGACCTTTTTTATTCTTATGGTTTTTATGCGACGTACTGTGTTAAGAGATGTCCGATGGCCTCACTCTAGAAACCTTTCTTTGCTTTAAATGCACTTGCTGTCACATGCAAAAACACCACAGCCTCCCTGTTGAAAGCAAGTTCTGAAAGCGTCTTTTACATTTTCCAGGGTGGGTTTTGCATATTTAGCATGAAGTCTCAACGATGTAGCAACAGCTTGGGAGTGGAGCATTGTGGGACTGCTGCTTGGCTGCGCGGTGTTGCCCTTGGTGAGAACAGGTTTGTCTTCCTGCCTGCCATCGTCATCCAGGTAGTGCTCTTATTCTTGGAGGATTTAAAACGGGGGGAACGTCCCCAAGGGTCAACTCAGGGTAAACATGAGTGATTTGAAAGGAGAGAACTTTGGGTCAGAGGAAATGAAAAACCGCATTGCTGTCGGAGAACATCAAGTTGCAACTTCCTCCAGACCATCATGAGGAGATAATTTCCCATGATGTGTCAAAACTTAGAGGAGGGTCGATACCCCCTGGTGTTCTACAGGTTGTGATACGACACTGTACAGTTGTGGTTCATTTGAACAATCTTTTCCTTTTCCCCTGATTAGAAACCAGGAGTGCAGGCTTAATTTCATTTTTTTGACCCTGATTTTGTGGCAGGTACTTCCAGGCTGATCTTTCAGACCTTCGGGCTTGATGACTCAGGTAGGTCTTTCCAGCTCCTAAGATATATATTTTTTTCCTTCTTCTGTTCCCGGTTTAAAATGTGTGCCAACGTTGAATGTCTGCAGCTCAGGGTTTCTCAACACTGGCCGAGGCTGGTGTGGAGCGCCGGTCAGGCGAAGCCCTGAGCTTCCACGCCTGACGTGACTTCTGGAGGCGGGGCCGGGAGTCGCAGCCCCATCTTTGTCTGAGCTCCGCTGCTCCTCCGGGCCAGAGGCACTGCCGTCCCGACAGACTTTGCTCCCTGTTTTCACGTTTTGCCGTGTGTTACCTGTCCCTCTGTAGGGTAGCAGTAGAGTATTAGAACTATTGCCAGAGATGCCCTTATAATCAGTGGGGAGAGTATGCTTATATAACAGTAACTGTAACCGTAAGCAAATAAAATATCAATAACATTTCCCCAATCGTCACATTAATTACCAAGGTGCGTGAAAACTAAAACTATCAGAGCTAAATATATGCAATCCCAATTCTTAATATGGATCTTCTGAAAACATTTTAGTTGGAAAAAGTCTAACAGGTAAGCACTTGCAAAGAAAACGTCAGAAGCAGCTGAACCTTATTCAGCTCGGACCAAAAATACTTCACTGTACAAACCTAACTAAAATCACCTTATCAGCGACAGGAGCCTAAAGCGCACACTGGAACATCCGCCCCGCCCACTGACACGCGTGGCCGCCTATTGGCTGCGGCGGTCGCGAGTCGTGGCCTATCCCGGCGCGCTACCCGCCCCACCTCCAAGCCCCGCCCCCTCCCCGCCTTACGGAAAGATTTGAATATGCAAATGAGCTCCTCATAAATATGGAAGCAGGTGGCTGTATTTGTATCCCCGCTGGCGGCCGCCCACTCTTCCCCGCTCTGTGCAGCCGGCAGTCTGTGGCTCCTCTCCTGCTGTCTCTCGGACACCCGCGCTCCAAACACAAACATGTCTGAAAAGCTGCCGTTCAAAGTGGGTCAGTATGCGTTTAAGAATTATTTTCCTATGGCGCGGGTCTGTTTTTGTCATGCTTAACGTGTTTTCGTGGGGACAGGAGCTATGCCGCTAGACTGACGCGCAGGTGTTATGAAACATCGAAAAGCGCTTGGGTTTTTTTATTTTCATTTCAGTCCCTTCGTATGCCTGATAAACCAAGCGATTGCGGCGTTCAGTATCCTTTCAGGCATGCGTTATGGGCACTACTGCACCGGCTATACAGAACAGATTTTTTTTTCAGCTTTAAAGAAACTGTCCCGGGTTCGCTCGAACAGAAGATCTTGTGCTTCTCTGGATGAAATATTTGAAGAAGTACATGTACTGCATGTCGGTGAAGCCAAGTTCATTTGATGGACTTTTCTGTGGCACTAACTCCATTCGAACAGACAGCATGGTTTCCGTGAGCCGGATCTGTCGGAACCCCAGAGCGTGTCGGCACTTGTAGTTCGGCTGATCGGCCGACGCCCTTGCTGCGTGCCGGCCTCCCCTCGCAGAAAAAACTACGTCTCCTAGAATGCAGTGCGCGCTGATTGACAGCCGCAGCAGAGATTCTATTTATGGCCGCGCGAGCGGGCGAGCAAGCCCGCGCCCACGTGGGCCGATGCAGTTGGACTTGGGACTTGAGCGAAATGACCAATATGCGTGATTTAATAACCTTGCACAACGGCAGAGAGAGGAGGGAGGGTGGGAGGTTATGCGAGGGCAGACTTCTGCATTGGAGCCAAGCCGTGGTATCAGCCGGTAACGTCACAGTCTGCCCCACAGTGAAATAAAGTGATTGTTTTTAATGGGGAAAAAAATCTGAGTAGCTGCTTGGCGTGTCTGTGGGCTTGGGGCTGCTGTCCCGGCCCCGTGTCCCACAGTTGGGTGGGGAGCCTGGCGGAGAGCAGGGGAGCACGATGAAGGCATTGCTCTGCAAACAGCAGTGTAACAGGAACTTGTGTGCCATGCAGAGCCAGTCTCCATTTCGGGGTCCTGACCTTCTCCTCCCCCACCCCCACAGCTGACATCAGCCTGGCGGACTGGGGGCGCAAGGCCATCGAGATCGCGGAGAACGAGATGCCGGGGCTGATGAAGATGAGGGAGCTGTACGGCGAGTCCAAGCCGCTGAAGGGCGCGCGCGTCGCTGGCTGCCTCCACATGACCCTGCAGACCGCCGTGCTGATCGAGACCCTGCGTGCCCTGGGGGCCGAGGTGAGGTGCTGGCCCCCTGTCCGCAGGCTCGCCGCCCTGCGTGTGCAGCTGCCTCCTGCTCCTCCTTCCCCCCTGCAGCAGTCTGGCAGCTCGATGTGTTGGCGTTGCTGGAAGGGGATCGTGCTGCAGCTGCCTGCCTGCTTGCTTTGTCTGTCCTTCATGCAGCCCATGCTAGCAATTCTCCCCCGGTCCTGGTACATTCCTGTGTTTTTTTTTTTTTTGTCCTGAAACATTTGCCTGAGTGAGCAGGACAGTGCGCTGGGAGCGGGTCTGGCCGAGGAGCCGGTTGGGCAGGTTAGGGCGAGGGCAGCTGTGCTCCAGCAGGTGCAGCTCCCCGCGCAGCTTCTGCAATGGCAGACGCCTCTGTGTGCTGAAAGACACCTGTGCAGATACTCCCGGCTTCGCCAATTCGGGAGATTTTAACAGTATACGGTTCTTCCGACCCGTCGTTCCTGGGTCCAGGTCTGCACCGGGCCACAGGCTTCAGCCAGCCGGCCCAGGTGCACCCTGTCCCCCCCCGTCCCTTCGGCTCCTTCACCAGGCGCAGGACCGTCGGCTGCGGGTTCGGCTGACCCCCCTCGTGCCGGGGCCCCGGCTTTCTCCCGAGGGAGAGGGTCGATCGGCTGGCTCCGCGCTCGGGGCGCCGTGTCGGGTGTCAAGTGTGGGCTGTAGAAAGGAGGCTGGCGGTGCGGTGCGCCCGCAGCGGGGCCTCGCCGCGATGGGCGCCCGGTCCGCGTCTCACCCGCTTGTCCGTCTCCGTCCCGCAGGTCCAGTGGTCCAGCTGCAACATCTTCTCCACGCAGGACCACGCCGCGGCCGCCATCGCCAAGGCCGGCGTCCCGGGTAAGCGCTCCGCCTCGGCGCCGAGCTCGCGTGGACCAGGGCCCCTGCTGCTGTCGGGGAGGGAGTGCACGTCTGAGGTCTGCGCTGGTCTCCGCTGATGCAGCAGGAGCTCTGTGCTCTCGGCAGGCGGGGGAAGGCTGGGACACCCTGCCCCACCCTGCCCTGTGGGGTCACTGTCTCTGAGAGCAACTCGAGTGACTTCTAACCTCCCTTCCTGAGGCAGCTGAGTGACTCGGCAAGGTTTCCTCCACTCGGCACAGGCCTGTGGCCTTTTCAGGGGTTGATAGCTGGGCCAGAGAGCTGTTGAGCTGTCTGCTTTGCTCCAGGTGAACCCTGCACTCTGTCTGACCCGTGACGTTGTCCCCTTCTGAGTGCCAGTGAAGGCCCAGGCTCCTCGAGGGCTGACCAGTTACTGCCCCCAGAGCTGTTCATGTTTGAGCTGTAGAGAAGCTTAACGATTTCTGTCCATTAATACAAGAAGAAAGTCAATGATTTTTTTCCTCCCATTATCCTCTAGCCAGAACTGTCATTGTTTCCACAGGAGCTGAACTGTCCCAAAGGTCCAATGTAGTTAAGAGTGTGAGGTGTCAGCAGGAGGACTGAGGCTATAGGACGCCAGTTTAAACCCTCCTATACTGCTCGAGTGAAAGAATCGTGTGTGTTTTGGTTCTGGAATGCAAACAGGAGGCAGTGGGTGTGGGCGAGGTGCTCCGTCAGTCACAGTTCAGCTTGCGCTTTGCTGCACCACTCGACTCCTGCTTGTGAGAGTGAACCTTCTTGCAGTGGCAGGGCAGACCTGGGTCTGGAGCGGGAGGCGGCCAGGGCTGGGCATTGAGGGTGCAGAGGTGCCCTTGTGGCTTGTGCTCTTGTTGGGAGGAACGGGACAGTTTGGGGGGGGGGGGATCACCGATGTCTTTCGGCTGGGCTCTGTGCAGACTAGAGCTCTACAAGGCTGTGTGCTTTGGGAGGGACTAATCTGAAACGTTAACGATGATCACGATGGCAGTAGCGAAGCTGAAAGGTGACATCGCTGGTGCTCCAGTGAAGCTGTGCTCGCAGGTGACGGGAGCTCGTCCACACTGGAGGGCTTCCTTTGCGCTTAACAGCAGCTGGTCAGGGCAAGGCTGAACCAGTGAATAAACTCAATGGAGGTTAAACCTGCGAGTTTCTTGGTGTTTGCTTCTTGTGGCAGTATATCATAGAGCCACCTGTTGCAATGTCAGGGTGTTGAAGGTCTTTAAGTTTCCCAGAAGCCTTTGAGCTGTAGTCATCCTCATGACAACCACACAGTCGCTAACCAGCATGTTGCCCTTCGCCCCTGGGCCATGTCCTGCGCAGTGTACGCCTGGAAGGGAGAGACGGATGAGGAATATTTGTGGTGCATCGAGCAGACCATCTACTTCAAGGACGGGCAGCCCCTCAACATGATCCTGGATGACGGGGGTGACCTCACTAACCTGGTGCACAAGAAGTACCCCAAACTGCTGGCAGGTAACCCCATTTTCTCTCCTGGTCCAGAATCATTTTTCATGCATCTTCCATTAGCTCAAGAATAGCATGCAACTGCTTCCTGTGTGAAGCTGGTTGCTGCCTGTCGAGAACTATGTCTAGAATATAGTCTGAATATGCAACAGGATCCAGCATCCTCACCTCAATATGGTGACATTCGCATAAACTGCAGAAGACCCTGCTCGAAAAAGTGAGATTGTCTGGGGACATGCTTGTGCTCTTAGCAGTCAAGATCAACCGTTCTTGATCCTCTGGCTGTTTCAGTTTCCTCTGCTCTGGACCCCTGCTTTTGCTTGTTTGATCCGTCTGCTGCCACCTTGTGGTGGACGTGCAGAGCAGAAACCGGTGCTGGGGTCTGTGGTTGTGGCCCCTTGTCGGCCACAAGGTGGCAGCGTTGCTCTGCTGTGGGGCAGAACCAGGAACTGGCCGACGTGTTCGATTTTAGGCAGCGATAAGGGTTAGGGTCATTCCTGCTTTTACCAAGGTCTCCTGCTTGTTCCTATGGCGTTTTCCTCCTAATACATAGGAGTGCACGGCAGGTAGGGCGCGAAATCTTTGCTTCCTTGACGTTCTGTAACAGTGTGCTGCAGGATTTGAAAACGGGCCATGTGAACAGCTCTTGAAAGCAGTGCCGTCCGTGACCGGGGTTGTGGTGCAGGTGCACTTTGCCCTTTATTTATCCTGGGCTGATGGAGATGCAGAATCCGTGACTGGTCTGGTCGGCTTCTTTGCGGTTTCCAGGGATCAAGGGCATCTCCGAGGAGACGACCACCGGCGTGCACAACCTGTACAAGATGCTGAAGAATGGAGAGCTCAAAGTGCCGGCCATCAACGTCAACGACTCGGTCACCAAGGTAACTAGAGCGCCCCCCCTCCCTCCCTGTTGAGGTAGCAGTGTCTTCTGGGCCGAGATGTGTGACCAGTACTGTAGGAGGGTCAAGCTCATTGTTGCAAGCTCAAAGTTCTGGTACGTGGTACGTGTCAGTGTGTTCTGTACCAGCGCTGAAACGGACTGGTCTGCCTCTCCTGTCTCTGTCAGTTCTGCCATGAGCCTCTGCTGTCTTTGGTGTCTGACCGCCTGGGTCAGAGAGCCGGAGCTGCTACTCAGCCAGGCTCTGTCAAAGCCACAAGGGCTGCAGTGGGCCTGACCTGCATGAACTGTCCTCTGAGAAGCCCCCTCCTCTTCCTCAGAGCAAGTTTGACAACCTGTACGGCTGCCGCGAGTCCCTGATCGATGGGATCAAGCGCGCCACCGACGTGATGATCGCGGGCAAGGTGGCGGTGGTGGCGGGCTACGGTGACGTGGGCAAGGGCTGCGTGCAGGCACTGCGGGCGTTCGGCGCCCGGGTCATCGTCACGGAGATCGACCCCATCAACGCCCTGCAGGCGAGCATGGAAGGTGAGTCCCCGAGTCCCCCCCCTCCCTACCGGCTGCGTTCCCCGCCCCAGGGTCTGGCCCGGCCCGGTCGCTTCAGTCCCTTGGCTCTGTCTCCGCTGTGGGCTCGGGGTACTGGGGGGAGCCCTTTTGTTTTGGGGGTTGTCAGTGAAGCCTACAGGTGTCCTGTGTGTCTCTCGCTCCAGGGTACGAGGTCACCACGATGGATGAGGCGTGCAAGGAAGGCAACATATTTGTCACGACGACGGGCTGCGAGGACATCCTGCTTGGCAGGTGGGTCGGGGTGGGGGGGACGTGGACAGGGGGGTGTCGGGGTTCTGTTGCCTGTTTCAGTGGCTTTCGCACTGCTGGCAGATAATGACACTGGCAAATTCCCCAACACCTCCGATACACCACGCAAGTATTGCACCTGTTCGCCGGCGGACATGTTCCTGGAGTGGATGCTGAGCAGCTGGTTTTGCGCCAGTGTGACCTTTTGACTCTGTTCCTCTCATGGCTGTGAGAGGGCGAAGGTCAGGGCCTCCGAGAGGTGCTCCTGCTCCTCTCCGGCTGGAAATTCACCCGGACGCCGGTCCCGTTTCTCTCCCGCCAGGCACTTCGAGCAGATGAAGGACGACGCCATCGTGTGCAACATCGGTCACTTCGACATTGAGATTGACGTGAAGTGGCTGAACGCCAACGCTCAGGATAAGGTCAACATCAAACCCCAGGTGAGTGGCAGGGATCTGCGCCTCAGGGCGAGCCAGCCCCCTCTCACGGGCTCAGAACCGAGCCCTTGGGCCTGTCGGGCCTTCCTGGTGCTCAGACTGCAGCTCCTTTGCCAGAGGAGAGGTGGTGGTGCTGGATAGTCCAGGACATAAGATTGTTAGTTTCTGAGTTTCATCCCAGGATGGCGGCTGAATGTTCGTTTTCCTCAAGAAAAAGCTCTCTGATCCCTAACCGTCCTAGAAGGGAAAACAGTGTCCCGGGATCTGGGGGTCCGGACCCTTTGAGGCAGGGCGGTGCGGGATGATGGGGTGTGGATCGGGTTCTGGCAGGCTCTGCGGCAGGAGGTGGCCAGCTCCGGCCCGAGTTCCTCCCTGGGATCTGCACCGAGGCCCGGCTCGCTGGGACCGGGCACGTGGGGCCTGAGGCTGTCCCCAAGGTTTACAATCTAGTGCGATGCCAAAACTTTCCCCAGAATGGGGCGGCTTCATCACAAAGATAGATAATTGAAGTTTAGTAAACTGGATAAAATGAATTTACATCTGCCTTTTAAACTTTTAAATGTAGTAGTACGTTTGTTTTTCTAGCAGTTGCCACCAACCCCAAATTGCTGAGGATGAAATTTGAAGCAAAGCACATCTTTTAAGACTAGTGATCTCCAATAGTCATATTGGGTGTAGTTACCTTAGCTGCCACAAGAGGGAGGTCTAGGCTGTTTATGCATAAAGATCTGATGTCTGAATCAGTGCCTTATTTGTGAGCTGTTCTTTTTTTAATTACAGAATCTGAAATACTCTCTTGCATGAAATCTGGTGCCAGCTCTGAAATGTTCATCTCTAACCTGCTCTGAAATGCATTCGTTTTTTTAAAAGACCTTGGCAGGTGACTTTCCCTGGCAGCAGAGGATAGTGACTTCAGCTATAAAACACTGCTGCCTTTATTCTGGGCTGTGAGCCCCATAAATAAGGGGAGTTCCTGGAACACAGGAAGTCTGTAAGGTTTTAAAATGAAATTGCTCTCCTGTTTTTAAACCAGTTTCTATAAAGAGGTGATAATTGCTTTCACTGGGCAAGTATAATGACACAAGGTGCTTTAAATTTGCTTTTCTTGTATCTTTAGTGTTTTGCATTGGCTCCAGCACTCAAAATCAAGTCAGTAATGGCTTGCAGTTGTATAAGAACTTAAGAAAAGTTACGAACGAGAGGGGGCGATGAGACCCATCTGTGTGAAGACCTGCCCCCATGTGCTGCCGCGGAGTCCTCTGGTTTTCTCTGCAGCGTCAGCGGTGCGCCGGGTCGGCCGAGCGCTTGTATCGGCTCTTGCTGCAGCTGTCTCTGTTCGAGGCGGAATGAGCTCAGTTCCTTCAGCCTGTCAGTCGAGCTGATCCCTTTAAGCCCTGGAATGTCTGTTTGTTCTCTGGATTGGTTCCAGACCGGCAATATCTTTTCTATAACATTCTGACCGAACTTGAACTCACAGTCCTGAAATGGCCGTACAAGTGCTTTGGAAGGTTTTAACCTGCCATCCCTTGATTTAACGCCTTGAACCGTCTGCCTTCACCGACGCGGCCGGGTAGCCTGTTCCACACTTCCAGGGCTCCTGGGGGCGAAGAGCCGGTCTCCCCTCGCAGCGGGACCCCGGAGCTCCTGGCTGAGCGGCGATCTGTATCGGTGTGGGCATCGGTCTCTGCCGTGCTCTGGCCATCGGCGCCGAGGCCCGCAGCCCAGAGGAGGCTGGTCTGTCTGGGCTGTTGGCGAGGAGCCTGTTGTCCGTTCGGCCCGCGTTTCTGGAGTGGAGCCGGGCGGATGAGCTCGTTCGGGGGGGCGGGCTTTAAGAGACCCCCCCCCCGTGTCCAGGTCTGTTTCCTCTCATCGCCCCTCTCTCTCTGGCAGGTGGACCGGTACAAGCTGAAGAACGGGCGCCACATCATCCTGCTGGCGGAGGGCCGGCTGGTGAACCTGGGCTGTGCCATGGGCCACCCCAGCTTCGTCATGAGCAACTCCTTCACCAACCAGGTGCTGGCGCAGATCGAGCTGTGGACCAACACTAGCAAGTACCCGCTGGGTGTCTACTTCCTGCCCAAGAAGGTCAGTCCTGGGGGGGGAGAGGGGCTGAAACAGAGGGAGAGCAAGAGCACCACCTGCAGGGTCTGCAGCGCTGGACCTCCATTCCTGGGCTCAGGGGGCGCCCCCACCGAGATGTTGTATTACCTCTCCTCTGGCAGCTGAAGGACAGGGCAGATTATCGCTTTTTATGGTTTTGGCGGTGGTGTAAAAAGGTTCTGTGTTTCAGACCTGTGTGCTTTACCCCGATTGTCTTAACCCCCCCTTGGTGCAAGACCTCCCGAACACGCCTGCAGATACTTCTGAGCCCGTTTTCCACCTGTTTTTTATCTCCAGCCTATTAAGATATCAGCGGCACAGAATGTTCTGTTTGAAGCCTGCTGGCTGAAGGAATCTGTATGTTCTACAGATGTGCTCGGCCTGCCAGCTGTCTGCTGCGGCCTTGGAAATAGTGGTGTGCCCTGGAGTGGCTCTTGCCCCACCCCTCTGCCCCCTGCTGTCTTTGCATGGTCTGCAGTCGGGCGCTGCGCAGGTCCACCCCAGCAGCTTGCTCTTCCTCCGTCATCCATGAGGGGGCGCTGTCTGCATCCCCCGAGTGCACCACTAGCTGTATTGGCTTGCAGAGCAGATGTACTGCCAGCATGTTGGACTGGGTCTCGGGTTGCAGAGGAACAGCCAGATGCCAGCCTGTGTGCACCCCGCTCCACGCCCAGTGTGAGGGGGATTGTCTTCACAGGGCAGTGCAGGGAGCAGGGTGTGGGTGACTTTGTGCACTGCTTGCCA